TTTTGGTACTAAGTCTTCCGTTGGTAAGACAAAATGAAAATCATGACAACAGCAAATTTATTTGTTAACGATTCATTTGAATTTGTGTCTGATTTTATTCGCGCGACATGGAGGTAACTTTTTAAACATGAAAACCAACTTTGTTTTTTTTTTTTCTTTTTTCTTAATGTTATTGCTGATTTGATTCAATGATTGAATTATTTTACTTCACGCACGTACGAAAGGGAAAAATCGTCATATTCTAATCTAATCAAAGTGCGTTGTAACAAATAGCGTCCGGCGAAAGAAGAAGTAATACAAGAAATCTTTCAGGTACACGGCTAAAATCGGCCTGTTATAAATCTTCCAGTTGTCGAATTTCGTTCTCAGCCCCGAGAAATTTTATTACCAAAGCCTCTGAATTCGTAACTTTCGTCTTTCTTTCCGTATTTTGGTTTTCTTCCCCTTCTAGAAAAGCTTGAACGCCACTGTCTGAAAGCGATACAGATTTTTCAGTGTTTTTAACAGCCATAATCCGAAAAAAATCCGACAAACGACCTTGGATTGAGAATGGTGAAGTATTCGCCGTTCATTCATATACCTGACCGAATGGCGAGAAAGGCGGGTGACGTGTCAGCAGCTGATTGGCGGTATCATACACACGTGAAAAAATACGATATCTTTTCAGGTATGTTGTTACGGCTTTTCTCAGGGCTGGAAATCCTTGTAGGACTCCGTAGTTTATATGATAAAAACAGTTTTTAGGCCGCTCGTCAACCAATTTAATGGTAATTTTGGCTTTACAAATTCATTTTGAAACCAATATTTTTCTGTCAACCAACTAGATTTAAAAGAGAGAAAGGAGAGGATTAATAAGTTATTTATCGGCTTGAGGTAGTGACCGACGTGTTTTGCTTAAAAATACTACCCAGCCGGATAACGAGGTATATTTATGCAAAATGGTACCCAAGGTAGGGATGTACTCAGGCTCACGAAAGCCTTAGTGTGCCCGTGGGCAGAGATAGGAAAATACTGACCGGGTAAAGAAGCAATCAGATTGCAGGATTCCTTACTGTGCCCTCCGAAAAAAAAAATAATAGTAATATCAACAGCAGTATTTTTTCTAAGCTTTTTATTCCAAGAACATACAAAATTTAAACAAGTTTACCAAAAAGCAGTTTATTCTAGGGCTCTGAACAAAAGTTTACCCTTGTACCATAATGCAAAACGTATCGGTTATTTTACTTTTACAATATACATCTGCGTTATCTTTTTAAGCTTTGAAAAAACTAGTTTCTCGGATCACTTTAAATATTTTAACACTTTAACTTCATTTAACAGCGATAAAGTCCTGAATAGCTTTCCCATATTACTACTTTTTAAAGGCTGAATTTTCCCCCGATAAAGCTAAAATTCGTATGACGTTATATATTGGTTACAAAATTTGTTTCAACTTACATTTTAATGCTAACTCCTACAGATATAAACTTTCCCTATGACCGATAGGGATCAGTCAATGTTTATCCTTAGAGGGATGGGGTGGGCAGAGGTTTTTTTTTTTTCTAAGGGAACACATATTCTTTCTGGGGTACTGAGCAAGGATCAATAAGGGGATCAATACTGACAGCACTGTCTACAGAAGGGATTCCATTCCAGCCTGTGAAATAATAAAAAAGAAGAAAAATAACTCTTTCAATAACTCATTACATATGTATATATATATATATACATAAATATATATATATATATATATATATATATATATATTTATTTATTTATTTATTTATTTATTTATTTATTTACTTATACTCTGTGGTCAACTAATTGGTAGTGTGACACGAATGGCAAGGACCGCGCCTCTCGAGCCGGCGAACGATGTGGGCGCGCTTGCGCGAGGAAGGTTTTCGAGCAGTACTGTAATAGAACTCTTACGTCCTCACCTTGCTGGAAGGCTCCAACTCTACTGGGTTTTGTTGCTTTCTCGCAGGTAACAATGTGGTCATTGGTTTATTTAATTTCATTCGCAAATAGAATAAATGCACGAGAGAATAAGGATTTTGATTTATTGAAATGGATTGTTAATTGCTAAAAAAAAATCTCAATTGTTCGTGTCGAAGATCGACCACCTTTGTTCTTAAGTAACATGTTAGTCCATCTTCCATCGTAGCCTACTTTTGCTCAGTAACACAAAAATATTCATAGTGAATTTGACTTCGAAAGTCATGTAGCATTACAACAATGGAAATATAATTATCATCTGGGGTTTTGTTACCGCCTAGCAGAGAGGGAGAAAATCCCGCACTCGTTCCCGAAGGATCTTCACGAAGGGCGTTGATGTACGAATACACCACCATGATGAAGTAGATCTTAGGAAAAAAAAACAAAAAGACAAAAAGCAAAAAAGAGGCAATGAGGTCAGACCCAGTGCAATGAAATCTCGAATTCTTTCCACTCTAAATAGAAGTTGATCTAAGACTGAAACAGAACATACCCGCAGCAAACATCCACTGATGTAAGCAATTACAAAGACGGGAAACTGTAACATAAAAAGAAACAGAATTCATTTTAAATTCGTTGAAAAACTCTCCACTAGTGTTTTATAAAAAAAAAATGAAAAGGGTTGTTTCAATTTACCCTATTCCAGACAGCAATATAAAACATCATCACTCCAAAAGTGAAAAAGAGCTTGAAGATGCTCCACCCAAGCCAAGGAAATGCCAAACACTTGTCACCCTGCGACGAAAAACAAAGATGATCAATAAACTAACAAATAATCAAATAAAAAGCTAACGCTCTAAGCTGCGACTGTTTGGGTCGCCATGGCGAGTAGAAAGAAAAATAGGCGACTGAATTTGAAGCGAAAGCTGCAAGTTTGACGATTAGTGTTCTGTAGTGATTAAAACATTTTCCATTTTTTGTATTTAACGTGTCGAGTTAAGGTGAGATAATCATTCCAATACAGTCACTTGTATCAAAGCTTTTCTGACGCGCGATTGGTCCAAATGCATCGCATGATCGTGATACTCCCCATTTTTTCAGACCATACATGTAGGACTAGGAAAGCGTTTATTCATAATTGAATTCAAGATGAAATAGCGTTTAGGTATTGCTGCAAGAGGAGAGGTTTGTTTGTTCACAAAGTCGTACCAAAGAGCACTGAAAATTACACATTCCACGCAGCAAACAACAAGGTGTTCGTTAACATTTTCCGTGCGTTGAAAGTTGCAAAAAATATTTTAATGATAATAAACACAACAGCCTCCGTTCAGCGCCAAAATATGCTCGTATATTTGTCCTTGGAATTATCTGTCCCTCGGGGCTCACGGTTTCCCTCTCGGAAGAGATCATGTTTACTGACAAGTATCCGTGCATATTTCTGCGCCAAATAGTGACCATCGTTTACCTAATGCATGAAAATGTAAGAAAAACAAACGAACGTGAAAAATCTATTCAGAGAAACAAAACCTTAATTAATGAAATTAAGATTTAGAAAAGCCGTTTTCGTTGCATAATCTACCGACTGGTGTTAAATTCTTAAAGAAGAATTCTTGTGTACCCCTGAGACAAATTTTATCATAATCTTTTATCAGCTCAAATTCTTTTCAGTTACACGCTAAGCTAAATCACGTGCCTAGAATAAGAGTGTTGGACTTACTGAGCAACAGGATCCCAGAAGCAACAGGGTCACCAACAGTGAGATGACTTCAAATGTGAAGAAAACATAAGCCAACCTGACGATCGCTTTATTTTAAAGATGATCATTAAAAAGAAGTAAATCAATCAATGAATCAGTCAAAAGACAATCAGAAAATGAGAGAGAACCTTGTCTGACTGGGACTATTCGTTTTGCGGAAAAAGATTTTAACATTTTTAAAAATATTAGTTGAACTTTCATTTTCACACAAGATCCGGCAAACCAACGTAAAATACATATCAGAGTCACTAAAATAAAAATATATATATATATATATATTTATATATATATATACACATATATACAATTCCCCGTCTACTCTCACAAATGAAAATATTTTCGTCCTAACTAACCACGTGTTCTGTTCTTACGGAACAAGGCAAAAGTGAGGGTCTCAATGGGGTTAACAGTTCGCCGTAACACAGCCTTAAAATTTAGCCGTTAGGCGTAAAAACTGACAAATTTTAACAGCTGGTCGTAAAAAAAGTTAATCGTAAAAAGATATTTTGGTAGAAACAATGGAAATGGGTTTACCGTTAGCCGTAAATTGACCAAAATTTTAACCGTTAGTCGTAAAAGCCATTGCCCCATTGAACCCCTCAAAAGAAAACTGTAATACCTAAGATATGCTTTATGCTAAAATGCAAATTTTGGCTGAGCTCGTCGGCGTTCTCTTCTAGTTGCTTGCAAACTTTGATGAGATAAATTTGATGATAAATTGAAAAAGCTGATGGAATCTGAAATATAAAAAGAAATGCAACTACAGATCAGATTTGATATGACACAACAAATATAGATTGCTCTCTTCTGAATTAACCAGAAAAACATGCATAGGTTTGAATTTCAAACTAAGTTCATTTATCTGTGATGAGGAAGAAAGAGGCAATGTTTCAAACATAAAAACACAGTTGGACTGCAAATATTTGTGTGCCGATCAAGTCGAACCCTCAACATCATGTGATTGATATCGCCAATCAGCTGCTGACACGTCACTCGCGCCACTCGGTCAGGTTGATGAATGAGCAGCAAAGCCTTCATCATTCTATATCTGCCGTGGTTTTTTGTTGGAATTTTCTCCGATTACGGCTGCTTAAACACTGAAAAATTCGCACCGCTTACCGACAGTGACGTTCAAACTTCAATCGAAGGGAAAGAAAACCAAAATACGTAGAGAAAACCGAAAGTTACGTATTCAGTAGCTTTGGTAACGACATTTCTCGTGACTGAGAACGAAAATTGATAAATGGAATATTTGCCACCGGCCACTTTTAGCTGTGTACCTGAAAGACTTCTTCTATCGCTAAGGACAAATTCAGTAACTGAGAATTTTGTTTATTCAAATTAGGCCCATTGTTGTTTTTGTAATGATTCAACGTATTTTTCATCTTGAGCCTAAGCGTCAACACACTTTACAATTTTTAGTCGGGGATTGTCGATTTTTCTATTTTCATTGATTAATTCAACTTTTCCATGTGGAGTGCTATTGTGTTTACACGATGAACAAAATAATACATGGTTGCTTGTAGATATGGAATTTCTCTTCTCGTGTTCAACTCGACATTTCATTCGCTCGCTACGCTCACTATTGAGTTATGGAGTTGAACACGAGAAGAGAAATTCCATTTCTAAGCGCGCCCATGTGTTGTTCTCTATGATTATGCTTCTATAAAATGCTATTTCACTGCACAGTTGGATGTGGGGCCCAACTGAAAGTGCTGCTTTCGAATTGTGTGTGATTTCATTTTTTTCCGGCTTCTCTTCGGGAGATATTTTTGAAAAAATTGAAATTGGTAAAACTGCGGTTGGAAATCCTACTGTAATGGAGGAACATCTTGAATTCTCGAACTGTGAGCGCGGAGTGCAACGAGTTGGCTAAAAAAATTCCGAAAATTATCCAATAAGGCTATTGGCCGAAACGAAAGGCCGCGTCATACTAGCCACGAGGTATTCCGTACTTCAGTTTCTTTAGTTACAGCTCATCTACAGTGACCGAGTCTTTCTTCAATATCATCCCAAGCTCAAAATATGTTTCCTATTTGAAAATCAGATTCCTTAAAAGGAATGAAGAACCCGATAGGATTTGCCTCGCTCCATTCATGAAGTTTTGTAGCTTAGTTGATGGCAGCGAATGACTAGTATTTGAGAGCTACACCTTCGAATGCTGTTGAAGCCTTAAGTTTTTCCGGCTTCTTTTCTCAGTCTGAGATTTCTTTATCAGCGGGTCACCTGAGAGGATCATTTCTTTACTTCAAAGTATTAGTTGCGGCTGCAACATTTAATTTTGCCTTGAAACAATTTCTTCTAAAATGCCCATTTTTGACCGAAAAAAAAGTTATGAAGTTTGCTCTGAGTTGCTCAGTCGTCCTGAAACTTCAGAATGCGCACATGTCTTTGCGTTGACGTTGAAAAAAAAATTTTTAACGACATTTTTCGGGTAACAATATAGTCCTTATTGACCACAGAAAATAGTGTAATTATCAACGCGACGTGACAAAATTTCGCGTGGTCAATCTTTGCTCTAAGTATACTTTTTCCGGAACTTAGAGTTCGTGATTTAAATCAGGTACTACCATTAATAAGGCATGAAAAGCAGAAGGATATTTCAGATGCTTATACGCTAATAACTGTTGGAACTTACCAGGCCAAAGATTGCGTGAATCATAACACCTTTACGAAGGCTGAGGCCACAGCAAAGGGTTTTCACCAAAACTGCCATTGAAGATGATTAGTCGAAGTTACTATTCTGAACGTCAAACTCAACTCAACTGATTCAAGCTTAGCTGCTGGATGCTTTTAAATTTTTCTAAACCTTTCACTTTTGAAGATCTCATTAGTAAATCTCCTTATTGTCTGCCATACAGTTCTTGTGATGTTCGTTTGGAGAATTTGGTATTGGATCAACTTATAATCCCCTAACTGATATTTTTATATATTCTCATCACTTGGTTGCTTGACATTGTATTGAAATGAGAAATTCTGTCTTGGTCACTTATGGGAGTTAAATGGTTAAACCTTTCTGAACCTTTCACTTTTGAGATTCGTTTAAAGAAGTTATCTTTCAACTTAACTTCCGTGTATCCTAATTGTGAGAATTTGTCTTATATCGATGCAGAATAGATAGAACCCCGTCAATCAATTTCTATTAACCCACTACCCAACTTGTTGACAAAGTGTTGAATTAGTAAGAGGAATTCGCCTGTATTGTTCATCTCTAGTAACTGGTCAAAATGTTCAGTGCAGGGAGACTTCAGAGAAATGAAACGTGCTGTTAGCCTATCTTTAACTGTCGATGTTCACGAATTTCTGGCGTCAAAACTTGAAGATGAAACGGTGGTGCATTCAGAGGCGTTTTTTTTTTTTACGTATGAAGTCCGGTTAGCAACCAAGATTATGTCACCATCAAGTTATTTTACTATATCAGGATTTCTGGAGAAACTTTCCATGTGATTTCCCACAAACTTAACCAATACATTTTATTTAAATTGTTAGGGAAGTAGTCAGCTTAAAGTGCGTCGCTGAATTAGCGACTTTCAGTTCAATACACGTCACGTGTACTTTTGAATGGAGGAAAAATAGACAGTCTCGATCGGGAACTGATTTACTTCAGCGAAAGATGATGCTTTTATAAATTGTTCCGTTTTACTGTACATGCAAACCTATAAGACGTTTTTGGTATTAATTCTTCCGTTGGTAGGACTAAATTAAAATCGTGACAACAGTACATTTATTTGTGAACGATTCATTGGAATTTGTGTCTGATTTTATTCGCGCGACATAGCGGTAACATTTTAAAAATGAAAAACAGCTTTTTTTTATTTATTTTTTTTAATGTTACCGCTTATTTCATTTAATGGTCGAATTATTTTACTTCATGCACGTACGAAAGGGAAAAATCTTCATCATTGATATTGTAATCAAGGTGCGTTGTAACAAATGGTTTCCGGCGAAAGAAGAAGTAACACAAGAAATCTTTCAGGTACACGTTCTCAGCCCCGATAAATTCCATTACTAAAGCCACTGAATTCGTAACTTTCGTATTTCTTTCCGTAATTTGGTTTTCTTTCCCTTCTAGAAAAGCTTGAACGCCACTGTCTGAAAGCGACACGGGTTTTTCAGTGTTTTAGCAGCCATAATCCGAAAAAAATCCGACAAACGACCTTGGATTGAGAATGGCGAAAGCTTCGCCGTTCATTGACCAGACCGAGAGGCGCGAAAGGCGATATTATACACACGTGAAAAAATACAATATATTTTCGAGTGTATTGTTACGGCTTTTCTCAGGGCTGGAAATCCTTGTAGAACACCATAGTTTATATGATAAATACGGTTTTCAGGCCGCTCGTCAACCAATTTATGACAATTTTGGCTCTACAGATTCATTTTGAGACCAATATTTCTCTGTCAACCAACGCGATTTGAGAGAGAGAAAGGAGGATTAATAAGTTATTCATCGGCTTGAAGTAGCGACCAACATGTTTTGCCTAAAAATACTGCACAGCCGGGAAAACGAGGTATATTTATAAAAAATGGCAACGAAAGATAGGGATGTACTCGGCGACTCACGAAAGCGTTACCATGCCCTTGGGCAGAGATATGAATACACAGACCGCGCTAAGAACCAATCAGATTGTAGGATTCATTACCGTGCTCTCCAAGAAAAAAATAAATGGTACTATTAACAGCATTTTTTTTTTCTTCTGACCCTTTTTTTGTTTTCAGAAAAATATATAATTTAAACAAGTATATCAAAAAGCAGTTTATTATAGGGCTCTTGACAAAAGTTAACCCTTGTATCATAATGCAAAACGTATCGGCCATTTTACTTTTACAATATACATCTACGTTACCTTTTTAGACTTCGAAGAAGCTAGTTTCTTGCATCACTTCGAATATTTTAACACTTTAATTTCATTCATCTTATAACAACGATGAAAATCCTAAATAACTGTCACATATAACTACCTTTTAAAGGCTTAATTACCTCACGATGACGTTAAAATTGCTTAGGGTTATATACATATTGATTAGAAATTTGTTTCAAGTTACATTTAAGTGTTAACTCTTACAAATACAAATGTTCCCTAGAACCATTAGGGATCAGTCAATGTTTATCCTCAGGGGGGAAGGAGTGGACAGAGTCTTTCCAGGGGATCGCATAGTTTCAGAGGGAACATAATGGGGATCAGTCGTCGCTGACAGAGCATAAGGCGGGGAGGGGGAGTATAGAAAACGGACCGCAAACGACGGGGGGGGGGGGGGGGTCATTAGAAGAGTACAGAGTCAGGTAAATGTTATTTTGGCACAACCAAACCCCTCTGGTTCACCCTTACTGAGCTGGATCCCAGAAGCAACAGGTTCATCAATGATGAGATGACTTTGAATGCGAGGTATACATAAGCCAAGCTGCAATCGCTTTATTTAGAGATGATCATTAAAAAAAGCAATCAATCAATTAATCAGTCAATAGATAATCAGAAAATGAGACAGAAGCTTAACTGGAACAGTTTGTTTCGCAGGAAAAGGCTTGGACATTTTATTAAAATATTAGTTGAACTTTCATTTTCATACAAGATCACGAACCAATGAAAAATTTATGTGAAGGGCAATAAAAAAACTCACACAATTCAACGATTAATCTCACAAATTAAAACATTTTCGTCCTAACAACGTGTTCTTTCTAACAGATTTTTATGGAGCAGGACAAAAGTTAACTGTAATACCTACAAAATACTTTTTGCTGAAAGGAAAATTTTGGCTGAGTTCGAATTCGTAGGCGTTATCCTCTCGATACTTGTAAACTTTGATAGAATTACTTTGTTGATAGATTAAATATACTGATCCAAGCTGAAATACAAACAGAAATACAACTACAGATAAGATTTGATATATTTCAGCAAATGTAAATTGCTTTCTTTGGAATTAACCAGCAGATCATGTGAAGGAAGTTTGAATTTCATACTACAAAGTTATGTTTCAAACATAAAAACACACTTGGACTGCAGATATTGTGCACCGGTCAATTCGAAGCCTTAATATCTAACCCCCACCCTCTCGAGCTCGAAGTGCAAAGAGTTGGCAATTCCAAAAGGTATCCGATGAGTCTACTGCCCGAAACGAAACGCGGCGTCATACCAGCCGCGAGTTATTAATTACTTCCGTTTCGTTAGTTGCAAATATCATGCACGGATCGAGTCTTTCTTCAATATTACGCGCAGTTTTTCAGGCTTCTTTTCTCAGTCTGCGATTTCTTTATCAGCAGACGACCGGCGAAAATCATTTCTTTACTTCAAAATATAAGTTGTAGCTGCAACATCTAATTTTACCGTAAAGCAATTAGTGCTTGAATGTTCGTTTTTGACCGAGTAGCAGTTATGAAGTTTGCAGTTGCTCGTCCTGAAATTTCAGAATGCGCATATGTCTCAGCGTTAACGTAAATAGTTTTTTTTCCTATGGCATTTTACAGGTAACAACATAGCCGTTTTTGACCACAAAAAAAAAAGTTTTGGAAATTATGCACTTAAATTCGTGTAATTATTTGTGATCAACGCGACTTAGCAAATTCCACGTGGTTAATCTTTGCTCTAAGTATACGCTTCGCGGAACTAAAGTTCTCGGTTTTTACGAAATAGCGAAAATCGTTCAATTAAGTACTACTATTACTCAGGCTATTACTAGGGTATGAAAAGCAGAAGGATATTTCAGATGGTTAGACGATTAATAACAGCTGGAACTTACCAAGCCAATTATTCCGAGAATCACAACGCGGCTACGAAGGCTGCAGCCACAGCAACAAGTTTTCACCAAAACTGCCATCGAAGATGATAAGTCGAAATTACTCTTCTGTACGTCAAACTCAACTGCATTGATTCAAGCGCAGCTGCTGATGCTTTTAAACCTTTCTGAAACTTTCAATTTTGAGATCCGCTAAAAAAATTCCTCGTTCAATTTCCGTGTATTCTAATGGTGCGACTTTGTCCAAGGCTTACATCCATGAAGAATAGAAAGTTTAATGTTGAATTTTTCTTTCGCAGTAATTACCTGATTTCTCTCACCAATTAAGCCTGGCCGTAAATAATGAAAGCTTGTAACCTTAACTGCTGAACAGGTAGTGAAAGCCTTTGGAAACCTATCAAGACTTGGTGCAATGAATGAGTTGCCAGTAATCGGATCCTTATGTTTTCGCGAAGTGTTCTGGGATCGGTGCGAGGCAAACATTGCAAGTCGTCGGAAAGAAATATACGGCGAAAGGTTGTTTCGTCGTCCGAAAAAAGACAATTTGGAAAAGGACCATCGCTATTTCGTCGCTGTTTTATCAGAGATGGATTAAGGTCATTCTAATTCGATACAAGGGAAGAGTAAGTTTTTGTTTGAACAACCATGAAATATGTAGTGAAATCTACCGATTAACTTTTCTACACGTGCAAGGTTTATTGTGAAATTGACATCGCGTAATGGTCTCTACTGAAATTAAGAAATATTAGCTTTAAATCGCCAGTAAATAACTCAATGAAGCCTTTTCAGTTTATTTAAGTGTGTTAAATCTACTTCTAGCTTTTTATTTTCTTGGCTTGGTAACACAAAAGAGCGCCACAACAGCTGTCCCAAGGCAGCAGGAGATTGAAATAGTGTGCTTGAGCATTTGATGTTATCTTGATACATTTAAGGGATTTAACGCATACGTTGCTTCTTTGCTGTGGTAAATAGGAACGAAACAGCATTAATCGGCGCAAATTCCCTCGTAACAACATTATCTAAATCCATCTATGATAAACTGCGGCGAGAAAGCGATGATCTTTCTCCAAAATCATTTTATTAAGTAGGCGAGGTTGGAGTCCTGGGGAGGAGGGGGTAGTGCGCATGCGGATCTTTTTCCGTTTCACTCCTCGAAAAAAATTTGAGTTCCGAGATCTACCAGTTCTAAATATATATTATTTATTTGCCAGCTGGGAGAGCTGTATTAGGGAAAACTGTGCTCGAGGTCTTGAGGGCACAGTTTTTCCCGATACGGACCGACCTAGGCTGGTGAATAACATTTTTATTTTTTTTTATTTAAACTTAACGAAATTCTTTCCAGAAGAACTCGAATAATTCATGGTTGTAATTACAGCAAGATTTTCCATAAACCGAACAACTTTCGAGCGAGTAAATGGTAGTTAACATAGATGTAATGCAAATAAAAGAGAGATACTTCACCGAAACGTTTTCATTTGCGTAATGATAAAGGTGATTTAAAAGGCTTCCAACCAACTTTGGAACAATCTAAACAAACGAGCAATGAATGATACTTTCCGTAAGATCATTGACTGTCTTTGAAGAAAATATTGTCGTGACAGTCTTTAAAATGGTTCCGTTGTTTTTCCAAAGTTTAATAGCGGGAGAAGGGGTGGGGGTGGGGGGTGACTATAAAAAATTGACTGCAACAGCGGAAGGGGGTTAAATTTTATTGTGACACAACCAAACTCCTCTGACCCACCCCCAGACGGTAAATATTGACCGATCCCTTACTCCTACTCGCTTTAAATCAGAGTAAAATATTCTCTACAGCTATACTCAGTTCAAGTTTTTTAGCCTCTCTAATAACTTATTTTAAATTAAAACGGTGATCAGTAATCTCTTGGGACAGTCACAATCTTCTGCTGAATTTACACAGTGCCCTTCTGGGATACTGCGTATGGAGGGGGTCCCATTCCAGCCTGTAAAAAGATAAAAAAAGATTTAAAAAATTAAAAAAT